TTTAACTTAGCACTAGCTGACGGACACGTTGTGAACTCGTTTTGTAGTTGTACGTGTTGCCTAAACGACATGAGGCTTCAGTTATCAGTGTGTGGCTCTGATGAGATATAAAAATCTGCTTCAGAGATGGCATTACTAGAGATCTAGTCATAGTCATAGTGAGGATTTGTGCACCAGTAATATGTGTAGATGATAATTCCTTAGGATTCTTGTCTCAAATACACTTACTTGAGATGCACAGCTACAAATTACTTGTGCATCCACTTTTTCTTATCCAATCTGCAAATTTGCAGGATTTCGAAAACGAGAGAGATAAGAAATAATTATATTCACTGTACACTCGAATTACAAGTCATATACATGCTACTAACACTAATTAGACACAACGCGGGTGCGATGGTAATTTCCTGTAATTCTCCTCGTTTTTGAAAATACAAAAAACGTAAAAAATCGTAATTTTAACTTTGAACATAACCTATCTTCAGAAAGGACGACATATAAATAGCCTGTCATGTACAGCTATCGATATACTTCATTGGCAGCAAATTCAATAATGATTTTCTCACACAGCAAATATCACTTAGTGTATACACATGCAGACCAATACACATAATCATCCAGATCAGATCTTGTTATTCAACCAACTTTCTTCTCAGAGATATATGCAACCCACATTGCGTGTAGTTGAGCCATTGCTCCATAGATGGACGCTCACATCAATCCTAGTGAGCAAACGTGGAATAACTGTTCGCACCCTAGTCTGCAAGATGGCATTTTATAGGTTTCTTTGACGTTACTATTCGTCATTTATTTGTCTGGGCGGTCCGTAGGACCTTGCCCATTAGTCACTGCCTGATGTACGTTAGTCGAATCTGTCAGTCCTGGTTGCCCAGAAACCAGACAAAGTCAAGGAAAAAGAGAAAGGGAAAGAGAAGAAAAAAGGAGAAGAACAAAGAAAAACAGATATGCTTAGTTTAAGAGGAAACACATAGGCTTTTTGACTTGGTACACGGATTAATTTTGAGGTGAACTAAACAAAGTTTTTTTCATTCGGTTTGTGTAATTTTGAGTTTACTAAAGATTCACGATAACTTTTGATTACAGTGTGAGCCGTGGCCTTGAATGTTTACGAACTGTGTAGTCCACTGAGTCACGCAACAGAGGGTTGCTGCGCGATTCCGCTTGACTATAACGTCGCTGCACCTGAAGCTTGACATAATCCCTCAAGTAAGGAATGTCAAGGTCTCTGTGTAGTGTCTGATTTGAGACATACCATGGAGCGTAGCAAATTGACCGCAAAGTTCTGCTTTGCAGTACTTGAAGACTTTGAATGTGTGTCTTGGCAAGAAAACACCAAGCCGCACATGCATAAGTAACGGCTGGTCTAATAATCATTTTATATAGTCGAACTTTGTTTATCAAACTCAATTTGGAGGATCTACATAACAAAGGATATAGTTGCCGAAACGCAATTTGGAATTTTGTTTTTATGGATGCTGTATGTTTCTGCCAGGTCATGCCTTTATCAAGGGTGACACCGAGATACTTGGCAGAATTTGTTCATGGTACACGATTTCCGTCTACAGAAGCCTCTGCTGGGGGGCCGCGACGTTTTTTGGTACAATAAATAGCCTGCGTTTTCGAATGATTAATTTTTATCAGCCACCGTTCCGTCCGCTCTACAACTTCGTCCACCGCATTCTGCAAGCCATCGTGAACCAGCAGGCTTATTACCTAACTTCCAACCGACCGTCAACCGACTCAAGTTGGTCGATAGTTGCTGTCAAACGCAAATTTCGTATTATGTATCAGTCAGTGCGTCTCAATCGCCGACCGGCTACGGTGGCGCCTCTATGTAGCAACTGGTGAACGAAAAGTGCATTCTTTTGTTAGGGGTATAAAAAAATTGGTATTCCCTAACTCATTGACAGCGACCCAACAGCAACTTACTAGCGATTTGAACTGTCAAATTAACAACTGCTCTGTGGTAGTCGACTAGTCGGTTGCTAGTGTTTTGTTTGGATAACATTGTCAAAACCAGAAGGGTTTATCTCTGGTCAAAACTATTCATTTTTTTAACAAGAAAGGTAAGTATAACAAGTTCAAATAAGGAATAAAATAGCTTTACGAGTCTAAGAAGTGATTGTATGCTCCCAATTTGTATTATCAGCAATTTTGATTCTCTGGATGGCTCGTGCATTTTTACTTATGGAAGCATTGGAAAGCGAAAGAATGCAGGATCAAAGACGGCAAACTTCTCGCCTACGACGTATTTTTCAGTATCTATGACTTGAAGTTCATAATGATTATCAAATAAGCTTACTTGCACCTTCCTACCACAGTATAGAAACATATTGGTTTTAGGTATTAGCAGCACTTCTGGTGCTAGCCACTGGTTTCTGCTAGAAACATATTGGCATGGGTTATTTACATGGGCTCAGTCAACCTAGTGTATCCAAAGCACTAAGGGAAATGGTGGATGCATTAAATCATCCAGACATTCTATCTAAGCATATTTACTTCCCTCAAACACTGTTAGAGATTATAGTAATTATATTGCCATGCATATTAAGCAAGTGAGATTGCATATCAAAATTAAATGGTGGATCATTAACTGAAAAACCAATGAGTTCAGCTACATCTAAAAGTTTCAACACATGGAAGTTTACATTACATGATAAAAATTCCATCGCTGTGGAAGTTGAAATTTCCTATTAACAAGAGTAATAAGTCAATATTCATCGATCCTAAGATCAATACCTCAGACTCATTATCTGTAAGATTAACAATACAGCAACAAATCTGAGTCTTAATATTTCACATATTTTAGGCAACATACCAGTTTCAGTACTAATATTTACTTTGTTTTTTTTTACTTTAGTTGTAATTATTGTTATATGCCTGCTTGAAGATGAGTAATAATGAAAGATATATTTTTACAGGTGACTCTGGACACATCCATTAAGAATCGGTCTTACCAGAAATACCATAGAGTGATGCACAGGAGTATTAAAGTTTGTATTATCTACTGTATCGAATATTTTAAATTTCCATGAAATAATATTCATTGTCATATGCTTAATGATAGCTCTGCTTTAAAAAGGTTTTATCAACCACTGTAAAGAAAAAGTTAATGTTTATAGAATTAGTTTTCTAGGAAAGTTTATTTTCACATGTCCATATTCAACAATATCTATTTTAGAGGATTTGGAACAAGCCTAAAAGTATGCTTTGAGTGAAGATCAAGAAAAGTTGCAAAATGCATTTGTAACAAAAAGCACTGCCTTTTTAAAATATAGTTATAAAACTGCTGACCTCCTTTTTGTAATAGAACCCACAACTTTTTTATCAATTTAAGCATTAATGGTACTACGTAAATACAATCGTAAAAATTTCAAAAAAAAAACTCGTGTTCCACAATCACTCAAACAGCCTAGAACATCGCCGCTTGTGAAGATTATTACTAATCGCTAAATGTATTTCTAATGGGGACCAATTCTCTTTAGAAAATGTATCAAATTCATTTCTACAAATACAATTTTTTTAATGACACCCCTATTTTATTTTCGTCAATTTGTAAAGTAATTATTTTAAACGCAATAAAAAAATCGTATTGTCTTAAATATGTTGAGAGACAAACTTTTTACTGTATTAAAGAGTTATAAATGATTTATGGATTGGAGGTGCCATTACAAAAATAAGTCAGTGATTTTTATGAAATGATTTAAGAGAAGTAGTTTTAATACAAAAAATAGGGCACTGTTACAAAACAGCGATAGGAATAATATAGTAAATAGATTTGTGCAAATATCTTTTATTAAAATGACAAAGATTAGGTCACACAAGTAAACAATAATCATAACAATACTTTATCCTTTCTAAATTTCAATCAGGTTGGAAGTTCTTAGATGCTTGATCAAATTTCTTGTGAAATTTTTGAAGTTGCATTAATGCTGTCTCTGCCTGCATACAACTTTCGTGCACCCTGCCTAGCTATTTGTAATTCTATATCTGGTGGTGGCTCAACAGCTGAAGATGAAGGAGTTGGTTCTGAAAATCAAAAAGCTTTTAATTAATATCTGAAGTTATGAAGCAATTCCAACTAGAAACTGAATTCATATGCAATTTTTCATTCTAAAACAAGATCATCACTAGTGAAAAATTAAAATAAAAATTTGTATTTTTTCCATTTGAAGCAGAACTTTGTACTTGTGATCAAGTGTTAGAAGATGATGTGCCAGGAAGTAAAATCAAATTAAATGTGGTTTAATTAAGTGGGCAATAGAGATAGAGAATATAAACTGATTTTTCATTAATTAAAATTAATCCCATTTAAATTTATCCAGGGGTTATGTACTTACACTAAATGGAATTTGAAGTTCAGTATCTTCAAATACTGCTGCTGTTCCCAATATGGCCATATCTAATTCAGATAAGTTATCAACATTAGCACCCTCCACCAATATCTGTAGCATCCTGCCTATATTGTGCAGCTCTAGATTGTATCCTATGTTTAAGGTCTATCCAATACTGTAAAAATGTATTATTGTATTAGTACATGAATAAAACCATATGGAACATGGAACAAAATGCCTTATTATAACCTACAGTACTAATCCAAGAAAATGACCCATGGAATCTGTGTAAACTATGTTGGCAAATATTAAAAGATGGTAGCAACTATTTGGAAAAATACAAATACATTGAATCAAATAAACTATTTTCTACCCGTAGAGTACAAAAGAGTTCCATATAAAGTCTCATCTAATAAGAATTGAATTACTGAAAAAATGGATAAACGTCATCGTTTCTCAAGTTACTTTAATAAAAAAAAGTTTTGGATGGAATATTGTGAAAACGTAGTCTTTGGGAACAATTGTGCTATTACACTGTTAAAGATAATTTTCTATTAATCAACATTGCATTTTTTCTTCTGTGAAAAGTTCTACAACTTTTTTGAATTTATCTAATGAAAAGAGGGATACAACAGAATAATGACCATAGCAAAAAGGTGTAATCTTATAATGAAAAATAAGATTCAGCATAATTATAAAAATTATGAATTAGCGATGACAAAAGGATGAATAACAAAATGTAACATAAACTCACCCTTCTCCAGCATTGTCCATTTTTTGTAGCTCCAGATCCATGAGTATTCAGACATATCGCTAATTCGTCCCACTTTCTATTAATTGTCTCCTTTGATCTCCCTCCAAGCCCAACACTGTCCTTAGCTAAATTAGGATGAATTTCTGCAAAGACAAGTACCTCATCGATTTGCAATGTTGAGATTATATTTCATTTTGAAAATTACCACAAACACCTCCTAGTCAGACAAAATCTCAAACACAAATAAACACTATGTTCACGTTTTCTGATGCATTTGCAGCCTTTAATGAACAAGTAGTCATCTAGAACTATATAGGTAAGTGCCAGCAAGTGCTGATTGATTTAGAGTAGGGCTGTCCAACTTAATCTGGCCCAAGGGCCACTTAAAAAAAATGCAGTTTGGAGTGCCGCATTATAAAATCTTTCTATACAACATTATTACTGAGTTTTAATAGGTATATACTATACTATATGGTATACATGAAGCGGGCTGCAAGAAAGGAGTTCGAGCCGTATGTTGGACAGCCCTGATTTAGAGAAACATCTGGCACTTGTCAATAAGCTGTTTTCACCCTTGCGTTATTTTGCATCGCTCTTTCTGTCTTGAGATAAGTCTTCAAGGCTAATCTATGTGAAACTGTGTCATCTATTTGTCGACAAATGACTGTTGTATGTATTAAGTGTGTATCAAGGGGCCACTCTTGACTTATGAAAACATCCATACATCTGCGGCTCACACAGACATTCATTTTTAAGAACAGACCATCGTATTATATACGTACGTGTTCAATTTTCAACAAAACTAGGTCCCATAGTTAATTTTAAATTCACAATCACGATCCACAATGTATTTATTTTTCGATTTATAAACACGACGATTGTTTATCATATGTATGTCACTTTAGTTCCACCGGTTGCTACTCGATTGCTAGTGGCGGTCGGTCGACAATCGGTCGCAAGTCGGTTGGTGGTCGGTTGCTCACCGATTAGAGTTGGAAATTTTTACGTAATAAGCCTGCAGATCATCAGTACACGACTGGGCGACAAGTGCAGTGTCGTCAGCATAGAGGTAGACTTCACAATTGCTGAGGGAAGGGACATCATGGATGAAAGCAAATAAAGAATTGGTCCTAGGACCGAACCCTCAGGAACACAGGTCCGTACTGGCCGTGTTGTTGACAAAACATTGTTAATTTTGATCCGAAACTTCCTTTCTTCAAGAAAGGATTTCAGTAATTTTAGAAGCCAAAAAGGAAAACCCTTTTGGATTAATTTATGGAGGAGGCCCGCGTGCCACACCTTGTCAAAGGCCTTTGAGACATCTAAAAGCAAAATGCCAGTACTCATGCTGAGGGTGAACCCTCTGGTTACATGCTCCACCAGCCTGACTGCCTGTAGCTCGGTGCTATGCTCGGACCGAAAACCGAATTGGACGTCAGGAATCACATGGTGATTTGACGAAAAATTCTCAAGGTGACGTTAAATCACCTTTTCGACGAGATTAGAAGGAGCTGACAGCAGACTTATGGGACGGTAATCCTGAGGAAATATCGAACCCACCTTCTTTGGAATCATGATGACCTCAGCAGTCTTCCACCCAGCAGGGAAGTACTGGATTTTTAGCGTCGCATTGATTATTGTCACCAAGTCAGGGCTTTCGGCGAGAGCAGCTTCAACGCCTTGTTAGTGATTTGATCCTCCCCAGGTGCTTTATGCACCTTGAGGTCTTTAATATGACGTAGTAACTCCGCTGGTGTGCAATGTGGAAACTAATCATCATAGCTTTACAATCGACCCAAAGACATCGAAGGGTACCACTTTTTCATGGTATCGTCATACATCTTCCGGAAAGAGGTTTTTTAAATAGAGAAGACATCATGCAGCATTGTCATCTGCCCGGTAGGTGAGTTGATTCGTTGATCTCAGCCCCCCCTTTGTATGTTGTTACAGATTCGCATCTACATCCTTGTTTGTAATCGGACGTTCTTATAAAATATTTAATTTGCTCACCCGTTGTCGTTCTTTTAGCTATTGCATTGTTTTGTTCAACTGGTTTTAGACATAAACGAGAGAGATGTACATTTTATACCCCTTATTTAAGTGTAATTATCCACGATTGTAAGAGAGTATCTTGTAAGGTCTGTTTCGTCGGAGACACCAGTTGACTTCACCTGGTACAGGAGCCATGTCGGCATGTACATATGAACCTACAACAAAATTAGAATTGTGAATAGGGCATATACTCACTAAACCTTTATCTAAATCAGTATTTACATTTGTAAATACTAATTTATTTTTTAGCGAGTTTATGCCCTATTTATAGCAATATACAATTCTAATTAGTAATTCTGTTGTAGGTTCACGCATGGCAACATGGCTCCTGTACAAGGTGATGTCAACAGGTGTCTCCGAAAAAACTCTTACAATGTACTATTACTTACAACCGTGGATATCAATTACTATTAAATAACTGGGATCAAATGTACATATATCTCGCTTATTAATACAGTAGTTTAAAGGATCATACCAGGTGAGTAAATTAATTGTTTTTCCGATTACAATCATGATGTAGATGCGAGCCTGTAACAACACTCAATGTAGAACCTTACACTAGCCAATTAACGTCCCTCTCCTAGGAAGGTGGCAATGCTTCATGTCATCCTCTCGATTTCAGAAACCTTTCCACCAAGGTACAGGCATGCACACATGCTACAGGGGAATTCCAAGGAAAAATGGTGGTTCAAGGAGAGGTATGAAAATACCATGAACGTTCTATGTCTTTATATTTATACAGTGTGAGTCTTCATAAAGTGCACATATCAAAATCAGGGAAACTACACTCTATTTCATCGACGGATAAATCATCAAAAAAACATGAATTTGATTTTTTATGAATATATGAATAATTTAAAATTTTTAGTAGCAGCTTCTAACCATATTGAAATAACTCGTTACAACTTTTAAACTAAATGTCCTATCATATTGGAATATGTACATTTTGTAGTGATTGCTGGTAAAAGGACGTGCCTGAAAAGTGAAGAATTCCACAAAAAGTAATGACATCCATTTAGAATAAAGAAAATTTTGATGAAAATCTGTTTTTTTTTTCATCATTTTTACAATAATTTCAAATTTTCTATAAATATCCTCCCTTGTACCATACCTTTTTTTATTTGTAAGTTATTCTACATGTTATCATAAAAGTAAAAATTGCACGTTTATTACTCAAATGTAACAGTTTCTATGAGTGTTTATAAAAAGCCCATGCGCATCATCTTGCTAGGCACCATTGTTTATCATGTAGATACCTTTTTTGGTGATTCAATGTAGAGTCGCGCGGGCTGAGGTACAAGTGGGGAGGCGGGCCCAGTTGAAAAACAATTGAATGTTGGGCAGTTAGGCAGCTATTTGTGTTTCTCCTGCCACCTTTATCTGTTTCGTTTGCTACATATCACGCTTTCGCTTTTTGGTCGCGATGCCACGTATAAGTGATTTCCCTCCGGCATACATTGCCGATATCCATTATTATTATGGAATGTACCGAGGGAGCGCTAGAGCTGCTTGCACAGCTTATCTAGCTGCATTTCCAAATCGACGCCCTGTTCCATCAGCCCGTAACTTCCAAGAAGTACATAGAAGACTGGCTAACACTGGACTTGGTTTGCCAGGAGATATTATTCATGTTGCTATCGAAGAAGCCATTTTGGATGATTTGTTTGCTGACCCAACTACTAGTACGAGACGTTTGGCGTTACGTCATGGCGTATCCCAGAAATCGGTTTGGCGCATCTTGAGGAAAGCAGGGTTGTCTACATGGATTTTAATAAAAACAAGAGACAATCCTGAATTCCCGAAAACAATTCTGTGGACAGATGAATCTCAATTCCCGAGAGACGGCATCGTGAACTGTCGTAATTTACATAAGTGGTGCCCAAAAGATGAAAACCCTAGGCTGAAAAGGGTTTCACACATTTCAAGTGAAATTTTCTGTAAATGTGTGGGCCGCACTGATTGACAACTTTTTGATTGGTCCAATAATACTCCCGAGGACATTAAACGGAAGGAGATTTCTGGAGCTTTTGCGGACTGAACTGCCTTTGCTGTTGGAAGAAGTGCCGCTGCAAACCCGTCGAAGAATGATGCTTCAAATGGATGGATGTCCTGCCCATTACTCGCTGATTGTCAGGTCTTTTCGTAATGAAAATTATCCAGGCCGCTGGATCGGTCGACAAGAACCTGTTGGGTGGCCGGCGCGTTCCCCAGATCTCACACCTCTCGACTATTTTTTATGGGGGACAATAAAATAAAGGGTGTACAGCAGTTCCATAAACAGCGAAGCGGAACTTGGAGAAAGAGTTTTGCGTGTTGCAAACGAAATCAAAAATGATCCCGAGATGATTCGTAGGGCAACTCATCAAATTTCACTTCGCGCTACAATGTGTTTGCAGCAACGGGGTGGCCGTTTTGAACATTTGATGCATTAAGCCAAAATGATTATCCTATAGACAAGTCTCTTTGATTTTATTTGTTAAAGATAATGAATGATTCATGTAGGTTAATACTGTTGTTTCATTCCTACTCTGGCGTTGAAATGAGTTCACTGCTTTTGAAACGCTGATTTAAAAACTTGTATCTCAGTTATAAACTTGCAATTTTTCACCATTAGGAAGCTAATAACATGTAGAATAACTTAACATTTAAAAAAGGTAGGGTAAATAGGACAATTTTCATTGAAATTTAGCAATTGTTTTAAAAATCATTGAAAAAATAGTGAGTTTCAGCATGTTCCTCTTTATTTTAAATTTATAGCATTTAATTTTGTGGAAATTTTCACTTTACTGATACGGCCTATTATTTGCAATCACTACAAAATTTATTCCAATATGATAGGACATTCAGTTTAAAAGTTGTAACATTTATTTAAATAGGGTTAGCAGCTGACTCTAAAAATCTTAAAATATTCATAAAAAATCAATTATTGTTTTTAACTTTTTTTTGATAATTTTTCCGTCAATAAAATAAGGCGTAGTTCTCTTGATTTTGCTATGTGCACTTTATGAAGACTCACACTGTATATTATTTTATAATCTTTTGAGCAGCTATGGAAAAGCTTGGACCAAAAAGGAAATACACCTATATTTCTTTGGGTCAATTGTGAAGCTATGATGTTTATTACTAGTTCGGTTATCTGGACTTCACCCATATTTTCTCGTGATAGCAACAATGATGGGGCCAAAGGAAAAACGAAGAGCTTACTCGGATTGTTCGTCCCTCGCGCTGTGCCATCTTCTTTGTAGCAGTACGAAAACTACCCTTTAATTGACCAGTTGAGTCAAGTGCTGTTACGGCCTTCAGAACAATGCCAATCACTATCCAAACTGTGGACAAGATGGGACCAGATCCGAGAGTGACAAGATTCGTTATTTCGATTGGAGCTGCGATAAACATGGACAGAACAGCTTTGACCGAAGCTGTGGCAGCAATTTTCATTGCTCAACTTAAGAACATTGATACGTCTGTCGGGAAGACAGTTGCTGTTTGTGTAATAGCAGTTGTAGCTAGTATAGTTGCTGCGGGGATCCCACAAGCAGGACTCGTTACCATTGTCATGGTATTAGCGGCTACAGGATTACCTTTTGAAGAGGTCATCAATATCAAAGCTTTCGACTGGTTGTTGGACCCGTTTAGAATTATAATCAATGTGATGTCCGTCTGCTTAGGAAGCAGCTTGCTAGACATTCTCAGCGTTGAAGAAATGGGTGGTGGTACAACTACAGACAGGCTCAATGCGAATCCAACAGAACTAGTCGAAAAAACCAAACCGCACAGTATGTCTTCTAGGAAATGTACCTAAACGCACATTGTCCTCATATCCACCTGCTGTGATCACCACACTTTTTCGTGAATTGCAAAAATGATGGAGACAAAAAGCTTCGAAGAACTTCTGGGAAAGCCTAGACTCTTCGACGGTGCTACTCGGATTGTTCCTACATATTTTCGGTACACCCTATGGATAAGTTGGGCACAGTCGCTATTTATATAAAGATAACTGCGACATGCAGGATTTGCTACCATGGTAATAGTATTGGACACTACATGATTACCTATTGAAGTGTCATCAATATCATAGCTGTCGAGTGGTTGTTGAACCGGTTAGAACGATGTATAAAACCAGGTGGACAAATAATTACAATAGCTATAAGAATCATGCCATGTGGGAACAACTCTGGATTACACACAAGGATGTAGTTGCGAACCTTTAAAAACACCCAACGTGGGGGCCGGCACCAGCTTATAACGTCATCTATAAGGAACATGACAATGTTGTAGTTGTAGTTTTCTTGATTTCAGGAACCTCTTTCCACCAAACCTGGTTCAGGCGTGCATAGACCATAGATAATTACAACTAAAGAGGATCAAATGAACATGTCTCACTTTCACGTATGAAACCAGATGGATGTAGATGTGAATCTGTAACAACACCTATCGTGGTGCTCGACATCCACGAATTAACGAGACCTGTGTGACAGATGAATAATTAAATACAATGCTATAAGAATAATACCAGATGAGTAATATCCTATAACCTTCAATTACAATCAAGGATCTAGATGTGAACCTGTAAGAACACCCGTGGGGCCCGGTACCAGCTTATAACGTCTCATCTACCAGGAACGTGACAATGAGTAATTTTCTTGTCTTTAGAAACCTCTTTCCACCAAACTTGGTTTAGGTGTGCATAGCTAAGGACTCCATTGTAGGACAGCCCATAACAAAACCAAAGCAAAGCAACTCATTTGAGAAACGGCGACATTGTTCTATGTAGTTTTCTCGATTTCAGGAACCTCTTTCCAACCCTTGAACGCTACTGGAAAATGTCAAGTGAAGCCCGGAAGAGGTATGAGGATACCACGAACTTTCTGGGTCTGGTGAACATTCACAATGTGAGAGAACAGGGAGTGTGACTTCTGCAGACAAACTCAATGTAGATCCTCTCAAGGCTGTGTAAATGACCAAAGCGGATAGTCACATGTAATCGAGTTCTTGAGGAATGCACTTTAGCACATATTGCCTACATAAGCACGTGCTGCGATCAAAACCAATCGAACGATCGAAATGCTGGGTTTATATGAAGATGTTGTGTTTATGCCCTATTTACTGTAGTTTACAATTATAATGACCAACTTTGTTGTAGGTTTATGCAAGAAGACATGGCTCCTGTACCAGGTAACGTCAACAGGTGTCTCCAAAGAAACATATCCTTAAATGTACTTTTACTTAATATCGCGGATAATTACAACTAAAGAGGATCAAATGAACATGTCTCACATTCACGTATGAAACCAGATGGATGTAGATGTGAACCTGTAACAACACCTATCGTGGTGCTCGACATCCACGAATTAACGTGACCTGTGTGACAATGCTTCATGTAATTTTTTTGATTTCAGAAACCTCTTTCAGCCAAACTTGTTTAAGGTGTGCTGTGCAGTATAGCTAAGCGCGAAACCCATTTAATGGAACCTCAACTTCTTTGGATCGATGAGTTAAGTTATGATGATTATCTTTTAAGAAATTCACCTTAGCGCATATTGCCCACATAAGCACATGCTGCGATGAGTTTTTAATTTCGAAAAGCCGAATATAGAGTAATGTATGCCCTATTCATTGTAATTTACAATTCCAATTTACTGTACGGCCACTACGAAATGTTTAGACACATGGACATTTCCTTTTTTAAAGGAAAAAAGTCACATAGTCACCGAGCTAAAATATTACTACAAAGTAAATTGGTGACATTCGCAGATTTCGTTCAGTCCGTTTACGTCTGACATTAATGAAAGACTTCTGAATAATAGCGTAGTGCTCTACAGTTTTTCCGAACACCAAGTAACCAAGATAGTGAAGAAGATTAAGAATAATTTACCTGTGGGCCAGATGGCATCCCATCGTTTCTTGATCATGACTGCTTTAGTCATCTGTCAGCATCTAACTCTTCTAAAGCTTTTGCAACTCCATAATTTCTTAATGCATAACGTTCAGTCCACTATAAACAGCCTTTAACAAACTCAATCACAACATCCTATTAACGAAATTGGACAATGCTGGTATATCTCCCGGCGTACTGTCACTTTTCAGATCATATTTGTCAGGCAGGAGGCAATATATTGACTTCGGAGGTAGCAAATCCAAAAATATATTTCCAACTTCAGGCTCATCCATGGGTCCTCTGCTTTTATTTACTTTTATTAACGATATTGTTAATAATATCGATTGTTACCATTTGATTTATGAAGATTGTAGTCGACTGCAGCGTGAATTCGATAGGGTATTACAATGGTGTGTCCTAAACAATCTCCCAATCAAGATTAGCAAATGTAGCACATGTCATACACAAAAGACGTGGTTCCCATTCAATTCGATTATCAACCCGATAATGATCCTTTGTAGTCAGTACATGAGCATAAGGATCTAGGTATAATCTTTGGCAATTCTCTAAGCTTCAATCGTCGTACAGAGCAAATTCTTCTAGTTGTTAATAGATCTTTGGGAATTGTGACACGGAGTTCTAAGAAGTTTACTAACCAGGAAGCAATGATGATGCTTTTCAACTCCTTGGTCTTATCTAAATTAGAGTATGCAAGGACAATGTGGAACCCCTGCTAAGTCACCGTATGTGACCCTTTGGAGAGATGCAGCGTAAGTTCTTGAAGGTTTTTCTTTTAAAACCGAAGGTACATATCCGCATTTTGGAACGCCTCAGGCCGAGCTATTGCAAAAACATGGTTTTGTTAGTTTAGATAATCGAAGGAAATCATGCTGCATGATTGCCCATCTTTGACAACGCTGTTAAGTTTCAATACCCCAAGACTCGCATGTTTTACCTCACTACCAGAACTAACTTACATCAAGCAAACGTGGCTTAGTAAGTGTGTATTACATAACTTTGTTTGTTGCCTTACTGTATTCACACCAGAAATTGATATATCTGTTGGTGGTGTATGAATAAATAAATAACCAAACAAATAAACTTCCACACAGTTCCTCTAGTTTCCGTGAAACGCGCAGCATGCTAACAGACCTTCTCCTGGGCCACCCACATATCCCCGCATCATCCCGATGTATACCGTACGTGCCTTTCGCAGCAGTTTCCGACCGCGACGCAGCGCTAAGTCGCGCGTTCGTTCGCTTTGCCTGAAAAATATTTTCCGCCATTTCTGCTGAATCACTGATGTGCGCGAATAATAAGGCACGTCTCGCCCGCTGGAGGCTGGAGCGGTAATGAAGATCCGCTATCTGCACTCACTGCAGACACGTTCTTTTCACTCTTCGCTCTATTTACTGGATGCTGCAGCCTGGCTTCGATGATGTTTATCGCTGAAAAGAGATTTGCACCAACTACAATAAAAATGGAACGGAGAGTTTTTGCTTTAATAGTGTCTTTGACGCCTGGACGGATGTTGGAACGAGTAATCCAGGGCATAGGCACAGTTCAAACAAAATACCCAACTGAGTTTCTATGGTAGCGTTTTGATGTACCTGCAGCCCTGGGAAAAGAGAACGAATACTTGGGCTTTGTAAAACAGTTATACTATTTGAGTCCATTACCATCGTTCTGTCCTAGAAGGTAGGCGGTGGAAAACTACACACAAGAAAAGAGTGATCTTGATTCAAGAACAACAATCTTCAATTGAGGACCGGTATGTTCTTAGGACATATATTTTTGAAACAGGGTCAATTTCTCAATTGCAAGTGCTACGTTTCCTTGAAACACCAAGATTACCTCATTTGAAGTATCCGTGATCCCGAATCAATATCATAATTACATAAAAAACTCATGATCTTGAATCAATGGCACTCTTTTTTGTGTGTACTCTTTGAGAAGTTCCCTTGAATCTCCTTGGCCAGCGTCCAGAAAGACCGAAAACCATTACGCTACTACATCACCCTGTGCCTGATTTTTACATCACACAATCTGACATTGCGAACCGCTTCGTTATATTTGTTTCTGGACTCGATGTTGGATCGTCTGTTCTCTACATTGGGGTTTTTTAAAACGATTCTGTGTACGTTGATCTGCTCACAGGGTGAAGACAAAGTATCTGAGCCCTTCCCAGTCGACATGTCCGTTATGCCAAATATTGCGGACTGGGCGAGTTTCTGCTGCCACAACGGGTTCTGATCGAAACCTAACCTCCACGACATCAAGGTCTGAGTTACCCAGATGGGACAGGACAATAGTGTTGTAAGGGACATAATGCGTAGTCAGAAAGGGATCAAGCAGATCTCTGGCGTGTGACGAAACGCGGTAAAAAAGGTAGAGCTCGTTACCAGTTGGGTCAGTTTTTGGGTAATAGCGAACGCTTTACCAGCATGATCTGATATATCGATCTTGTTTGAGCCCAGCCAGAGCTCAAGCTCATAATGGACCCTGAAATCACTGAGGAGAACTACCCCTGAAGCAAGGCGATTGATGTTCAGGAAGTCGATCTTGACAGCGGGATACTGAAGTAGGTCTGAGGGAGAGCGACAAATTCAGCAATAACTTTGAGTGTTGGCTTGTAGTTGAAGCAAAGCCACAGAAAATGAGCATGTAAGCAGGCGTTAAGATATTTTTCCGTTAGGTACTACAAACTAGTCTTCAAGGTCTTGCGGAACAAGTGCCGAGGACGAACATGTGCCAAGATACTGCTGTGTCCATACCTTCTCCGGGATTTATGCCGCAATATCATGAGATTCTTGTGGGCAGATTGGTTCAAGTGGGTATTGTTGAGACACTCTTTAGTCGGATTAAATCATTATTTGACCGATTCCAACATGTTTGTTTACCGGATAACAGCATCAATATTACCTCTAAGCTAAAATCTGATGTGACGTTTCACAGGGATCGATTTTAGGGTCTGTTCCTTTCACCCTTCATATTAATGAAATTGAGCATTCTTTCCACATAGGCAGTTTTACGCTTTACCCAGATAATGCGACAATCACATCGTCAAACAAAGCCGATCAAGTGTTACAACAAGGTTGTAAGAACCTGCTAAACCATGATTATTTTTGTGCTTACACAAGAAACTGACTTAGCTTGATCTTAGAATTGAAAATCAGTTCGGTGCTCTCGAAGAAAAAAAAAATTGGATCTGTTATTGGATGAATTTTTCATTTTCAAAGCTTATCGTGATGGGTTAGTATCCAGGTGTATAACATCCTAAGAACCACGCTGTCTGAGGAACACTTGATAACAGTGTATTATACTCAGGTAAAGTTTAGGCTGAGATAAGTTTTGTGCCTTTGAGGAGCATCGACGAATGTACAACATATCTGTTTAAGTCAGAAGGGAGGTAGTTCTAAGATTTATTACCGGAGTAAGTGCATAACATGACTTTGCGGAGATGTTAAATTGTTGATTGTTAACCTTGCCTTCTATATTTGTTTACGATATTTCGATATATATATATATATATATATATATATATATACATATAGACTCCAAATTTACGTAAGCTGTCAAAACTGTTCATTAACAATGGTTATCCATAGTGTCTGATTAACAAGACCTTTTTTCCCAGTATTTTTCCAAACTCTAATAATCCAAGCAATAGTCTCACAACTCCTAATAACAGAACTGATAGAGTTCCCAACAACACCAATTCAAATAACAATACAACCGCCATCCCAAATTCTAGATCTGGTTTTGCTGTCCTACCCTATATCAAAGAACTGACCCCTAAGCTGATCAGACTATGTAGCCCGTTGAACTGTCGAATTGCTTGCAAATCCGTCCTCACTATAAACTGCATTTTCTCAAAGATGAAAGACAGACTCCCGTTGCCCGTTGCTTGGCTTAACCAACACAGTCTACTCTATCAATTGCAACAATTGTAACGAAATGTATATAAGTCAGACTTCCAGATCTGTAAAGGAAGGATGACATCACACAAAAGTGATTCTAGGCTTCATCCCGAGAGATGTGCTCTGGCATTTGATGTCAACACAACAGGGCACTCCATGAACTACACAAGTATCAAAGTTCTTGATAAAGAAAACCACCTACCCAAACGTTTATTTCTGGAAATGTCCCACATTTTAATGAATGACAACTGTATCAATAAGAAGACAAATGTTAAACAACTGAGCGTCACTTACTCAGATTTGCTGAACTGCGAAAAGTTGGAGCACTTACACTTCTCTCCAAATTTGGACTTTTCACAACCATAAATGTAACCTGTTTTTTGGTCTATTCCACAAACAAAAATTCCATTCCATTCAAAATTGAATAATTGGTTTCTCATAACAAAATAATAATTAATAATTCAATTGCCCATCTCATCAACAATATAGTTAGTTCAACTGCTTCTGGTCGGCTGACAAGTTCTTACCCAACATATCCTGAAAATCACACCATCTGAAGTGATTTGGCAACATAGCACACACCAAAAGAATTTTCATTCCATCCATCTACACGTACACTACACGACACTACTAACCTTCTGCCATCTGTCAAAGGTTCATATTACTTATGATTCCATGCCCACCATTTTGTGCTATCATCAGGTGTTTCACGATGTAATTTTTAACTTTTGTTTTAAATAATTTTAATCCATTTTAGTTTGTTCTTGACATACAGCTGTGTGTAGTTTGTATCAATGTTGACGTTTTTACCATGTATCCAGCTTTCACCAGGTTACTGGGTATTTCCCTCAACCTAAGCATGAATAACATTTAGCAGCATCCTCACATACTACTGTAAGTTAACTTAACGATCATTTTGCACAATTGTTGCTATTCTTCTCAATGTTATTACAGCTCCTGATGATGATGGCAAAGACCATTCAAATCTAGAGAGATTAATAAAGCGTAAAGAGTCCTCTTTGCTTAAATTTATGTCGAGGTACCGAACAAAAGGCGGAAGCTTTAATTTTTCACCTAACTGGTCCAGACGACAATGACCACGTCTCAAGTTTATATATATATATATACAAAATAGCGCCCCAATATTTGCAGTGTGCATGCTTTCACAATAAAGCATAGGAAAGATACACCTTTTGCAAAATACACTATCGGCAGCAGGTCACCTAGAGTTTTTGGGCTGTCAGAGAAAATATAGCACTGCATATGACTGCAATATTTTAAAAGCAAGCTGAAGGCTTTTCTGTTATTTAAATATTTTTACGCTGCTTCCAAGTTTATTGATGTCCAGGTGCTCAGTTTGCTTGTCCTTCTTTGTTTTTTGTTACTGGATGCTACAACCTGGCTACAATGAAGAATAACCTTAAAATCGGCACCACCAACTACAATAAAAATAGAGAGTTTTTAATGGATATCGTCGAGGCTTGTCGCATCATGACAGATTCC